AAGGTTCCAAATGATGATGCACTTACGATTTTCTGCATCTGTATAGTTCACAGATTATATAAGCCTTATATAATTACAATATTCCTTACATTTGATATAGCGCCTTTCACGTCAGGAGCACAACTCGAAGTGCTGTCCAGAATATACTGTGTTGGGAGCTCAAAGTCCCTGTGTTGGGGCTTGATTCCTTCTAACTCAGAGGCCCGAGCGCTACCAACTGAACCAGGCTGACACCTATTATTTACTATTGTAGCATTAGGTTATTATGTGTTTTATACAGAATAATAATGTATTTTTGAAACATCGCTGTTGACATTTATTAGGCATAATGCAATGCAAGCTTCATAGAATTATTTCAGCAGAAGCAAAATAGGATTTAATCAGAATAAATGCAATCATATGATGGCTGTCAGGATTTGCCTTGCTTGTCACTGTCTCACCAGGACAAAGCATGACGATTGAATGAAAGAGTTCAGCTGCGTGCAGCAGGCAGTACATCAGATAAATGTATCACTGTTTCGTTTCAGCTCTCCAGTGAGTCTAACAAAATTGCACAGTTGAAGCAGCTTAGAGTTAGGCACAGTTTAATAGAGACCAGCTGGGATGAAGAGGAGAGGGGGGAGGGTGTTCACTTTCTGAGAGATGTATCTTGATTTTTTTCCCGAAGATGTTTATTCTGATATTTGTCACTGTCTGCACAGTGCCCAGGTGTTTGTGCTACTACAGCTCAGGGCTAAGTTGATGCTACTGTATGTGGTGGATACAAATTAATGCAGTTTAAATCTCCCCTTCCTCTTTCTGTCTTAAACACAATTGAAGAAAGAATGCATTTTGCCTACTCTAAATGCGACATAGCAGATACAGTTATTTTCCCAGATAAGTCTTTTTACCCGTTGGATATCAGTAGTCAAGATCTGGTTGTGTTTGTTTCTAAAGCTGAACCACTAACCGTTTCTCTTCCAGCGCCTGCACAGTCTTGTCTCTGTCCTCGGTCCCCTCCTCTTCAACCTCTACGTGCTCCCACTTGGTGACATCATCCCCAGACATGGGGTCAACTTCCACATGTATACAGATGACACGCAACTTTATCTCTCTGCCTCCATCGTTGATTCCAGGACCACTACTGTCCTGACAGACTGTCTGTCAGACATGAATTCCTGGATGAGAGGATGAGAGGCAATTTCTACAGCTGAATGTCAGCAAGACCGAGGCCCTCCTGATTGACTCACGCCAGCGCCTCAGGCACTGGCAACATCAGCATCCACAGATGTAAACTCCACCTCACCGAGACAGTCAGGAACCTGGGGGTCTTGTTCGCCCCTCAACTGTCCTTTCTCCCCCATATCCGTACCATGCTCCGCTCTGCCTTCCCCCACCTCCTCAACATTGCCGCCAAAATCCTCATAAAGGCATTTGGCACCTCAAGGCTCGACTATGGAAACACCCTCCTTGTCGGCCTCCCCAATTCTTCCCTCCACAACCTGCCAGTCATCCAGAACTCTGCAGCTTGTGTCCTCTCCAGCATCAGGCTCCGTGACCATCACTCCCATGCTTGCCTGGCTCCACTGGCTCCCCATCTCTCAGAGGATAGAATTCAAAATGCTCGTCCTCACATTCAAAGACTTCCATGGCCTTGCCCTCCAGCACCCCCCCACCCCCCCTCCACATGTCTGACTTGCTGAACCCTACCAACCTGTCCTCTCCCTCCACTCAGCAAGCTCCGGCCTGCTCCCTGTCTCCCGCCCGACCTGCCCTATCATCAGTGGTTGGGTTTTCAACCTCTCTGCCCCTACCCTTTGGAATTCCATTCCACTATCCCTTCACCTTGCTCCGTTCCTTGCCTCCTTCAAGGCACGACTCAAGACTCTCCTTTTGGACCATGACTTCAGCTGCCTACCTATCTCTCTGCAATCCCTCACCCCAACCCTGCCCCCTCCCCCCCCACACTCGCCCAAGCTCAAGTCCTGATCCCCAACAGTTCAATGCCTTGGGATGTCCTCCTGACATGAAAGGCATTTTACAAATGTAATTTTGTTGTTGTCGAACCGTGCATTATCTTGAACAGTTAAATCATTGTTAGAGTCCTTGAAATCTGTCTGGTATGCATTTACAGGGACGAAAAACATAGTATGTGATGTGATATAACCATCACGTGGCATGCTGCATCTTTCAACCCATAGTAACTAGCTGTCGGCACTTGTTTTGAGATGTGCATGCTCAGGACCTTCATAATAGATCTGGTCTCCCTGCTGCTAGTAAGAGAAGAATAAGCTATTGCTTTCTAACCATGGGGGCAGGAAAGAAAAGAGAATGAAAAGAAGCAGAAACAGTAGGAGAGAACCATCGGGGAAGAAACCACATGATAGGTTTCAGTGGAGGTTGAATAATCAGAACAGATTGAGACTTGTTGGCTCCGTATATCTTCATATTGTGTGTTTGTGTCTGCCACTCCAAGCTTAAATCTGGCACAAGGTATAATGTAATTTTCTTAAATAAAATCCTGGGGCAAGTTTTGTGCTTCGAATTAGTATGTCACTGTGATATCAGGCCATTGAATCTTTACTGTGATATCAAACCATGGAACCTATGTTATGATATAAGGTACTGAACCTATACGTTCAAACTATAATAATAATAATAATTGATATAGCGGTTTTCACGTCGGGAGGACATCCCAAAGCACTTCACAGAACACACTGTAAAGTGAATTGACTATATTTTTGGGCGAACGCGGCAGCCAATTGCACACAGCAATGTCCCACAAACAGTCGTAGATTGAAAATGACCAATTTATTATTGTTTTTGGTTTTGGAGGGATTATTATTAGGTGTGTGGAGTAAGGAAACTTGCCCAAGGTTTCGCCCTGCCTGGAATTGAACTCAGGTCTCTCGCTTGCAAAGCGCGTGCTCTAACCACTGAGCTACAGGACTCCACAACTATGGGTGAGATGTCCAGGGTAATGAGGTCTATTTTGGGATACTATAACAACAACAATTTTCACATTTATATAGCACCTTTCATATCGGGAGGAAAGTGCTTCACTCAGCCAAGTAGTAGCCCAATCTAAGGGCCAGGGTACCTGAGGAAGTTAGGGGGGGATTGAAAAGTGACCAAAAGTGGAGTAAAAAAAAATCTTAAAGAGGGCTTTAAAGGTAGGGATGCAGGGGCAAGGCAGAGTGAGTCCAGGACGGAGTTCCGGGGAGTGGTGGCAGAATGGCTGAAAGCTCACCCACCGATGGTGAGGCAGGTTGGGTGGAAAACGTGAAGTAGGCTGGTGTTCCCTGAGCAGAGAGAGAGAGCCAGGGTGGTAGAGTTACAGAAAGTCACAGAGGCCATGGAGCAAGGCCGTGGAGGGATTTGAATGCGAGTAACTCACTGTTCATTTTTTAACACATGCCAAATATTTGTAAAACAAAATGTAGGTTTGTTTGTTTTCAGTGAATTTACTGGAGAAAAACGCCTAAGGGCAGACTAATGCAAGCATAATGTGGCGTGAAGTGTGCTTAGCTCCTGAGGTTTCTTTTGAGAACTGAAGTGAAGGGTCAAAGTCAAGTAGTGCAGCCCATCATCAAGGGTATCAGCCTGGCTCTATCGGTAGCACTCTCTGCCTCTGAGTCAGAAGGTTGTGGGTTCAAGCCCCATCACAGGACTGTAAGCTCGCAGTCTAGGCTGACATTCCATTGCAATGCTGGGGGAGCACAGCATTGTCAGAGGTCCTTCGGATGAGATGTTAAAACCACCATCTTAGCCGTCTGTTCAGGTAGATGTTAAAAATTGCAAGGCATTATTCGAAAAGAGAAAGGAGTTTCTCTTTGTGGCCAAGACAACAATTTCCCCACAGCATATTGGTCATTCACTTCGTGGCTGTGGGATATTGTGTGCACAAATTGTCAGCAGGGTTTGCCTACAAATACACAGTCACTACACTTTACAGCAAATTCTGTGAAGCGCTTTGAGATGTTTCAACAATGAGATAAGGTGCTATATCACAAGCAAGGATTATGATAGGATTATTATACAGGAGGTAAGGAGTTCCACAGTCCTGAAGCTCTCGGTAAAAATGAGCTGGAGTAGGAGACAGTGAGATGAGTATGGAACAATGATGCTATTCACCATTCTAAGTCAATGCAGAAGAATAATTCCCATGTGTTTGAAGCTTGTGAGGAAGTGAATCTGATATTGGTTCAAAAATAACCTCAGGAATTATAGAGCTAGCGTGACAAAGCCATTAAGATGGAAAAAACAGAAGCTATATTAGTTGTACGTTAGTTGGAAATGCAAACAGAAAACTACCAGATCAGAGAGAAAGTTTCAATTGTTAACTAACTCCACCACTGTGAAGCACTCTGAGATGCTACCCTGCATGGAGGGCGTTATATAAGTGCAAGTTGTTACTGTTCGCTTTCCTCTTGTGTAAAAATTATAAACAAGAAATAGCAAATGCTATGCAGTGTTTTGCTATCATTTTAAACACTCAGTAAAAGCTTCTCAATGCAAAGACACTGCCCAGTATAATACTAGATCATACAGACCAGGCAAGGGGCCTCCAGAATGGAATTCCAGAGAGTTGAGGTAGAAATGCAGAAAGCCCAACCATTGTTGGTGTGTTGGGTAGGACGGGGGACATGAAGCGTGCCAGGTAGAAAAATCCCATAGCACAAGTAGGAAGTTTCTCCCTGTGTTCTGGCCAATAATCCTCCAATAAAATTAGTCATTCACTTCATGGCTGTTTGTGGGACCTCGCTGTGCGCAAATTGGTTGTCGCGGTTTGACTACAAAACACAATAAATTTTTTGAAGTGCTTTGAGATGTCCTACCGACGTGATTGCCACAAAACCAAATGTAAGATTATCATTATTATTATACAAATGTAAAAATTATCAAGAATTATTGTTATTGCAAGTTGTTATTATTTCTAGCAATGAGTTTCTTTGTTTCATTCTTGCCTATGTAGGCAATAAGGATTTTTATTTATGCTGAAAACCTTTGTAGACCCATTGTCTAAATCAATACGACATTAATGCAACCGTAAAATCCCATCGATCCAAATATATGCTTGTTGTTTGTGATTTTAATGATTTATTTTAAAGTGGTATTCCATCATATGGCATCTTTCTTTCACAGACCGTTCATTCAAGACTTCACTTCTGCAATGACAAGAAAAGCATTTCAGGCCACAATATTTTGGTAAATTTGCAAGTGCTTAGATTTTTCTCTCTGCTTGCACAGCATATACAAGAGTAAGTAATGGGGCTATATGTGGTCGGTAACTTCATTTCATGGTTGTTTGTTGTACAAAGCTGTGCGAAGATTGACTGCCACATTCGTCTACAAAATACAGTCACCACACTTCACATATATCTCTTGAAGCACTTTTTTTACATCCTCCTGAGATGAAAGGTGCTAACCAAATGCAAAGATTATTATTATTAATGAGAACAGTGAGAGTATATTCTAATACATAGGTTTGGATTTTGCAATGTTTAGAACTGTCAGTCACAATAACTCAAGTTCCTGCCAAGCTGGTTTTCAGGTTTGTTTTTGGTCACATTTAGCTTGTAATGAAAACTAAGATGGTTTCAAAATTAAAGCAATATTCGTGAGGAATCTTTTTCATATCTGAAACATTCTGCGTCATGAATTCTTACACCTAATTCTTTCCAGGGTTAGGTAAGGAGAATGGGTCCCTCCAGGGAGAGAGTGCACACACTATTCGAGACAAAGAGGAAGCTTCCATGCATATGTTTCCTTATTCCCCAAGTCTCTATTTACCTAGCAGCAAGTAGGAACCCGGTTGTTAGTCGATTGGCGAGTTGCTTTCCAGGCGTAATAATCCCTCAAAAAAAAACTCAAATATTTCTGAGATACTGCTGTATGCGTTGGCTTTCACCCATAAATACAAGGTCAACCCTTTTTACAATATTCTGTGAAGACTCAATGACATGATAAGGTGCTATATCAAATGCAAGGATTATTATTATTATTATTATTATTATTATTATTATTATTATTATGATGTGCTCTCAGGAATTAAATAATCAGAGTGCATCCCTCCAGGGGGTGAGAGCAGACCATTCCAGGTCATAGGGACACAGGTTGGAGGTTAAGCATGGCAATGGGTTCCCCTGTATATCAGACCAAAAACTAACTCCTAACATAATCGTGCAACATTTCTGTCCTGATTTAGAAGTTAAAACTTCAGACCTGATCGCACTTTAATGAGGAATTGTCTGTTTGCTTGTCAGATTTTTCCAGAAGTACAGGGGATGTAGCAGTGTGCAGTTAAATCAACTGACTGTGTCTAATCCTGAACACAATACGGTTCATTTCTTTAAACTAATGAAATTGTTAAGCAATATTTAGTCAGAAAACCTATTATATGCAAAATACAGCATTGGGGCATAATGTATATATAAAACATGTAATCTTTGCTTGCAGTCACTCACTTTACCGTATATCCTGTGAAGCACTTTGAGATGTATTCCCAATATGAAAGGCACAATATCAAATGTAAGTATTATTATAATATCATTTTATAATAAACTTCTTTTTGAGTTTCCTCTGTTAGTCAAATGAAGATTTTTCTCCAATTCCACCCATTTCCAATTCTTTACTTTCCCATAAGAGTGTCGGACCCATCAACATCACAGAAGCTTCCTCGAGACCTAGAGATAGCCTTTTCCACATTCTCAATACAACTCCATTAGATGCTTACTGCAAAGTTCAAACCATTCCTGGATTATGTAATAGTTCACGAAGCATGGGACCAGTTGTATGATCTAAGTACAGAGAATAATAATGATGAGTTATTATAGTTGGTTGAAGCCCGAAAGAAACATAATTCATGAAAATGACCGGTATAAGTGAACCTTAATGATCTTTCTCACAGTGGAACACTGCATGAAACCCAGCAATGTAAGTGTGATACTTGGTGTATATCAATAAATGACTCTGGGTCGAGAGCAGATAGAATCATGGCAAATGGTAGCAATGTTTGCCTTTAGTTGGACTCTACTTTAAACTATTGTATCGTGGGGGGAATGGATGGATGGACAAAAAAATCCCCAAATAATCTTTGCATTCCCCAACATGTGTGTATTTTTAACCATCTGCCCTTGTTTCACACGTTTATTACATTATTGCAAAGAGCAATCAGAATTGAGGTCAATTCCCTTAAAGAACACGTTAAAACACAGGGGAGATGGAGGTAGCAAGGTGGTAAAAGCCAGGTACTTCGATGCTCACTTGTATTCTCCCTCATGTCTGGTGTATTAGCACAGTGTCAGCCTGGCTCAGTTAGTAGCATTCTCGCCTCTGAGTCAGAAGGTTGTGGGTTCATGCTCCACAAAGGCACTTGGAATCCATATAGTCAACGCTGACACTCGAATACAGTGCTGGCACACTAATGGAGAAATAACCAGACTAAACATCTCTATCATTGTCTGGTGAAGTCTCACTACTATATCTGCTAGATCTTAAATCATACGTACAACGCTTATGCTACGAAGCAGCGGTTTAAGAAACGGTTACTTTATCATCTAAAGTGAAAGTGAAATGTACACTTAACCATAAACATAAGCCATTCAGTCTTAATTCATCCAGTGGTGAAGGCTGCTTCAGTCCATTATTGCGCTCTGATTCCATGTAGGTGGCATAGGTATGTGTAACTTTCAGTGTGACTTGGTTAATGTGGAACTCTCAGTCTGGTTTCGATACTCGTAAGCGTGGTGGTGAGTTTACGCATGTGTTAGACTTCCGGCTGATTCAAATAAAGAAATATGTTCAGATTCTGTAATCATGATTTTCTCCCGGATATGGCTCCATAATCTGCATCTTGTTGAAAAATCAAGAGGTGCCAGCTACACGAATCCACAGCCTGGACCTTGGCAGCTTACTCCACAAATTGATAGCTCTGTATGCAAGAAAATCCTTCTAAATCCTTGATGTATTTAATGTTTTTTTTATTTCTCCAAATTGTGTCTCCTTCTGACTGTGCTGACATTTGCTGAGTTATTAGTCTAACAGACACAATGAGCATTTCAGTAACTGACCAAAGAGACATTCTTCAGCAGCCAGCACGGCAGGCCATTCAACCACAGAGATCATCGCACCTGAAATCCATCCTGCCTTCATCTTTGTCTGCAAAACACACAGTCACTACCCTGTACAGTGTATCCTGCGGAGGGCTTTGAGACATCCTCTTGACGTGAAAGGCGCTGTACTAAATGCAAGGATTATATGTTAATTAATATCTATTTCCCATCAGGGGAGGTGCACTGGTAGAAAATGGGAAGTAAGACATATGATGTTTTTTTAATCCCTTGAAATCCTTTGAGAAGTGAAAGGTGCTGTATCAAATGTGAGGATTATCATTATTATTATTTTTACCCATTGCACCACCAAGGAAGCAAGCCAATAGTAACTTCAAGTTAGTTAATGGCTGTGTAATTGGAGCCATTCTCTTTGGTTTCTGAATTCTCAATTCAATTAATAAAATTTACTGTTGTCATTCTGCAGTTGACCTTTTCAAACCTCCCCAGAGCTTCCATCTTGTCTACTCATTTCATTAGCTTTCAAAAACCTTCCCTATAATCTCATCCCGGCCTGTGTTTTGCTAAAGATAATCTTGGTTAATTTAACCTGTTGACGAAGCAGAGCAATCGAAACCTGGGACCTTTCACCCGTCCCTTGCTCCCCTCTTTCTCATGTGTCAGTGTCCCTTGGAGGTATGATGCCCGAAACTGCTGTTCGATAAATGCTCGCCTACAAAAAAAGCACACAGTTGTTGCATTTTACAGAACAGTATAATAATACTTGCATTTGATCTAGCGCCTTATCACATCTTTGAGATGTCTCAAAGCGCTTCACAAAATATATTGTAAAGTGAACTGACTGTATATCTGGTGAAGTGCTTTGGGACGTCCTCCTGATGCGAAAGTCACAATATCAAATGTATTATTATTATTATGAATGCAATGTTCTGAATGTATTTCGAAAAGTTACCATAATGTCACTACATTTGTATTCTGTGTTTCTGGCAAACGCACCTTAACATTCCTTTTGCCTTACTAATTCTTAACTGACTGCCAAGAACTATTGAAAGATTAGTCCTAAATGGTTCCAAATTCCTTTCCTAAAGGTGCAAACACTCAGATTCGCTGCATCTGTGTTCATTTCTACAAGCAATGGCTTTCTTCAATTCTTTGTTCAACGCTGCAATCAAACAAAATATCGCTATGTTCTCATAAAAGGGAAAGCACACAAGGACAGGCCTTTTGAAGTAATTTACAGGGCTCTTGCCCTCATGCCCTCCGTTCCACCACCAGTGTCTGCGCTCTCTGCCACTATCCCTCAAAACTCTGGAACACTCTTCCTCTATTCCTCCACCTTGCCCCTACATTTCCCATCTTCAGATTTCGTCTGAAGCCTTCCTCCCCCCCTCCCCCTCCCCCCGGCTCGGCATTGTCACTGTTGAGTGCTCTGGGACATTACTCTGTGAGGAGCGCTATATAAATGCAGGTTTTTGTTGTTGTTGGTGGTGGTGGGGTGGTGGTGGTGGCGACCAGAAAGCAGAAAAGACACCAGTAATGATAATTAGAGCATCAAAAGTATGAGCAAAACCATTGCAAATAATAAATAGACATCACAGTCTTCTGGTGCTTTTAATTCACTTTTAATAATAATAATCCTTGCCTTCTTGTGCCCCCTCCTTCCTCTCTGACCTGCTGACTCCCTAACAACCTGCCCGCTCCCTCCGTTCAGCAGGCTCCAGTCTGCTCCATGTCTCCCGCCAGACCCGCCCTACCATCGGTGGCCGGGCTTTCAGCCTCTCTGCCCCCACACTCTGGAACTCCATCCCATGGTCCCTTCACCTCACTTCTTCCCTTGCATCCTTCAAGGCCGGTTTCAAGACCCTTCTCTTCGATCATGCCTTTGATAGCCCTCCCAGCCCTTTCTGCCTCCCTCACGCCTACATCACTCTTCCCCCATGCTCGGGCCCCGACACGTGACTATTCAGCGCTTTGGAACGTCCTCCCAACGTAAAAGGCACGCTATAAATGTAATTTTGTTGTTGTTGTTGCCTTATTACGTCTCCGAGATGTCTCAAAGAATATACTGTAAAGTCAATTGACTGTATATTTTGTTGGCAAAACTTGACAGCCAATTGCGCATTTTAAGTATCTACAAGGAACACAATTGTCTTTTACTTAATTAGTAACCACTGCATAATAATGTTCGTTATATATCCACTGAAAACACAGTTCTTAAGCATTAACATTGATCATTGCACCTTTAAGCAATTGTTTCATACAAAAAATAGAGACTTATTTTGTGAGATAGAAAATAAAACTGCAGAAAACATATAAACTTTGCAAAACTCTACACAGTCCTATTTTATGAAGCGATGTTTTGAAGGCTGAAAACCACTCTGAGCCCCTGATATTTTAACTCATGTGCAACTTTAACAGATTCCATTTAAATTCCTCGTCAAACCCTAAGCAGTCAGCTACTTGAAGTGATTGAAAACCCTGTCCTGTGCTATATATTGTGACTGACTCAGTGTCCCACATAATCCCTGCACAAATTTTCTTGGAACGAGCTGCAACTCCTCTGCCATTTCTTCAGATTTCAGCACCACTCACTCTGTTTATAATCCAATCCACACGAATATAACAAAGGCCAAGGCAGGAAATCATGCATAACTAAGAGGACAAAGTTGACAGACTGGAAGGTGGCTCCATGTGGTGTGTGACTCATTGGTGGTGGTAAGTGTTTAAAATGCTTAGCTAATGACTACTCACACCTTCAGAAATGAATGAAAGCAGGCTGGAGACATCTTAGTAACAGCATCTCTGTTGTCTCTCTGGGTAGACTATACAACATTGCCAGAATTGGATTATATGAGCACATCCATCTGCAATGTGTAAGTATCCGATGCATCAGTGGTTCCAAAAAAATAAATGACTTAACATCCTGCTTGAATAAGATTTGAGCTGCTTTCATAGAAATCATTATATTTTAATCCGTTCAGTTAAACTTCGCTCACAAAATAGACACTCGGACCACTTTGCACTTTACATCTTTGAAGCACTTTGAGAAGTCTTAGCAACATGATAAGCTGCTGTATCAAATACATTGATTATGAATATTATATAAGTTTGATTTTTTGAAAAATAAATTCTGCTACCTCCTCCTGTTCTAGGTTGGTGTGCATCAAACTATGCTCCGGAAAAGGGGGGTGGAGGGAGTTAAGCAGGTTCTCCTTAGAGCTGAACTGACTCCAAAGTGACATGCTTGACAACTGAATATTGAATTGAGTCAGCCCTCTGTGGTGGTCTCAGTAGTCAGGCTCTTGAGCCAGGTGGGTCTGCAGTATTCCAGGGCCCTGCTGATGACAACTCTGCCAGCCTGACTCATCTATGGAAGGCAGACAGGGAGTAGGGATTCTTCCCACTTAGCTCCTGTTAACCTTGCACGACAAAACCCTATTTGAAAAGAGAAGGGGTTTCTCCTGGTGTCCAGGCAAACAATCTCCCGAATAACAATTAACCTCTTACTGCATGGCCGTTTGTGGGACATTGCTGTGTGCAAATTTAACTGCTACATTCGTCCACAAAACACACAGTCACTACATTTTACAGTAAACTCTGTGAAGAGTTTTAAGATGTCCTCCTGCTATATCAAATGTAAGTATATGTTTACACCCCCATCTCCCACCCTGCTTGGGCTCCTATCTTGTCTCTGTAAAGCAACTTGAGAAGTTCTACACAAAACAAGGTACTGCATGTTATTGTTGTGGTTTAAAGTAAATGACTGAACAACATGCATCATTGTTACCACTCACAAGTGATTTGTTGGAACTTAAGCTTCTGTTCTCTATTTTAAAATCTGAGAGCTTTCATTTGATGATTGTTATGTTTTTAAACAGATATATTTTTACAGCACATCTTCTGCATGGAAACATGCCCATAAACCATACAGTCACACCACCTTTCAGTCTGTTCTGTGAAGCGCTTTGAGACATCTTGATGACTTGGTAAGGCGCTATATCAATTGTAAGGATTACACCTGCTTTACACCTCAATCTCCCAGTAGAGGAAGACTTTAAGCAAGGCGGAATGGGAAATGAAACAAATGAAAGAAAAAATTAAAAGGATAAAACAAAGAGCATAGGTTGACCTCTTACAATTGTTTGTAATGACAGTAAGGTTAACTAGTGCTTAAGAGATAGGTTTGCATTTGTATTGTTCTGAGATGCTCCAATGCCTTGAATGTGGTTGATTGAAGCATGTTTGGTGGATAGTACATGCGTTTCACAAGGATGTTTTGGACCCACAACTATGCAAGTATTTATGTAAGGAGCTTTACCACCAAACTGTTAGATTACTTCACTGTCTTATTATCATAGAGCCTTTAATAATCTCTATAGCGCAAATAGAGCTGTTGTGTATCAATCAGTGACATCTTTGGAAATTTTGTAATGTGTCAACAGCCTAGAGATCTCTGAATTTATTGAAAAACAAGGCTCAAGCAGTCAATCCATTTGTGTCAGGAAGGAAATCACATTAGGTTTCTGCTCCTGGTTGTACTTAAAGATCTGTTGTGTAGTGTGTGAAGTGAGGGTGAGATCAACAACAACAACTTACATTTATATAGCGACCTTCACATAGGAAAAGGAAAAGGTCATCACATTTACCAGTACATCTTGTGAATTAGTTTGAGACATGTCGACAATGTGATCAGATGCTATATCAAAATGCAAAGATTACTGATTATTATCTATATTAGTGTTGATACAGAGATGAGATATTATTGTGCACTGAGGCAATGTGATCATCTGATGAATATTGTCCATGGCATTTCTTCTGCACCAACACAAATCTAGCAAAATGTCTAATCCAACTGATTGGTTTCTGAAGTGCTTCAGACAAGTCACTGTGAAATACAGTGACTGTAATTTTGCAGACAAATGTGGTGGCATTTAATCTGCAGCAACATCCCACAAAAGGCAAGATAAATGAGCAAAATGCATCTATTCTTCGAACGTGCACGAATAAGGAATATTGACAAGCACCTGACATGAGGGGAATCTGATTATTTTTCTTCAAGGTAGTGCCACACTTTATTATTAACAATAGCATTCAATAATAATTTTGCAATATCATGGGATTTTTTACCAAGGAATACAATTAAGAAATCCTGCAAAGTTAGAACCCAACTATTTCTGGCACGAGATTGAATACTTCAATGCATAACTCTGAGAGCCATGTCATAGCACAAGTCAAACTAAGTTTGAGCACCTTAAATAAAACCTTATTTGTACTTCAATGTCATTGGTTTTATAATCCATACTTTTCTGCCAGCAGCTTTTTCTTGAACCAAAAGTCTGATCTCTCGTGTGTTTCTACAGAAAATGAGATGATGGGAATCTGTGAAGAACAGGATCATACTCATTATTGATCAACTATTGACATTCTCTGAAAGACACATTGTACAAGTAAATGTTCCACATAAAGGGGCTCAATAGGCAATCCATCACCACACATTTGTTTCGAACTGCATATCAAAATGTGTACTTTCTTGTGTTTTGACATTCTCAAAGCCTGGCCAAAAATAATGCTACAAAGCATTCTTTTTTTCTTTCTCCTTCACTTGGCTCCTCATTTTCCCAGTGCTGTTCTATTCTGTCCTTGTTGTTCTCTCTCCTCCCTATGTTTTGTTGCACAAGCATTCATCAGCCCTTTTGTGCTACTCTTCCTTTATCAACATAACATATACCCCTTAAAAAAGCCCATCGTTGTGGTAAACGTTTCAAGTTTGATTGCCTTGAAGTTAATCCATAGATTTCTGACTGTGTTCCTCAGAGAACATCGATGAATTGCACTGAGTTATTGATCAGTCATTAGAATTTACTTTGGTCGCTTTCAAATTAAATAAATGTCCTTTTACTGGTTCACTTACCCCATTCAAATCAGACTAAGCGAATTAGCAGAAGGAGAAACTTTCTTCAACTCCACACTTGGTATGCTACAGATCTTTTCTAACCAGCATTCTCTGGCACTCAGTCCTTGTTGCGAGCAGCCTTTGTATCAGAACCTATCTGACCTACTTTCCTTCATACAAAGATTAGTTTTTTTTCCAAAAAAAGAGACCGCATGGTATATTTAAGGGAAATGGATGGTATTTACTGCATGTTGACGAACATTTTATCTCGAGACCCTCCTCTTCAACCATGCTTTCGATCTCCCTACTCCCCCCCCACCCTCCATCCTCCCCAGTCCCAACCCCCAGCTTGGGTCCGAAACACTGACTGTCCAGTGCCTTGGCACTTCTTCCAGACATGAAAGGCAGTATACAAATGTAATTTTGTTGTTGTTATTGTTTTATCCTAAACAACACTGTATGTAAAGAGGGGATGTAAGTTTGACCTCACAGTTTTAATGGCTCTTAAACAAAAAAAACTTAATTATAACAACAATAATTATTGAATTTTGATGTAGCCCCTCATCACGTCTTTGAGATGTCTCAAAATGCTTCACAGAATATATTGTGAAGTGGATTGATTGTATATTTTTTGAGCGAAACCCGGCAGCCAACTGTGCACAGCAGTGTCCCACAAACAGTTGTATTTAACCTGTACTTGTATAACTCCTTCCACATAGGAGAAGTGCCTCACAGAGGCTGAGTTTCTTAGTCCAGTGCATCTCTGAGTGAACACGGTGGTGTTGAAGAATGCCCAGTGTGGGGCACTGTTTCCTTGGTATACGATGCTGAGAAGACATCAAGGTCAATGTTGATGCCTGTCGTGAAAGAGGGATGAAAGAGTTTGGGGTTAGCGATTCAAGTTTGTTTCCGAATTGCAATAGCCAGAGAGAAACTTGCTGTTATATAGAGACACATTTCCCACATGTAGGCAATTGATGCACAATGGATTGTGGTAGTCCAGCGTAAACTGCACAGATATTGGTGGAAAAACAATTTAATTATAACACATACTATCATTGATCTTAGCAAAAGTATTACGAAGTGGATTTCAATTTGCATCCCAGCAAATTGCAGTTGGATAACATGGCAAATTTCCCCAGTGGGATGTTTTTAATATCTCTTATTGATGAAAATGACATTGAAACAAATAACCAATTCAAAGTGGGAACTGTTGGTTGGAAGACCACTGGTTCTGATTCTCATGATATAAGTCATCCTTATTATTCATCCATCCATCCTCAGGTGTAATAACAACATAATAATACTTTCATTTTTGATAATAATATAATCTTTGCATCTGATATAGTGCCTTATCGTGTCTTCGCGACGTCTCAAAGCACTTCACCAAATACACTGTAAAGTCAATTGACTGTATATTTTAGGTCAGGAGGATGTCTCGAAGCGCTTCACAGGATTTACTGTAAAGTGTAGTGTCTGTGCATTTTGTAGATGAATGTTGTAGCCAATTTGCACACAGCCATACCCCACAAACAGTTATGAAGTGAATGACCAATTTTATCTGGAGGATTACTGTCCAGGACAACAGGAGAAATGCCCTTCTCTTTTCAAATAGCATCATGGGATTTTCAACAACCACAGGCAGACAAGAACTCAGTTTAACATCTCATCTGAAGGAGAAAACCTCCAACAATGTAACGCCCCCAGCACTGCATGAAATGTCACCCTGAATGATAAGAGTTCAAAGTCCCAACATGGAGCTTGAACCCACAACCTATTGATTCAGAGTTAAGAGTGCTATCAACAGACCCAGGCTGTGATAACAGGTGTGTCATCCGCAAATGTGGCGTTAACTTCCACATGTATGCAGATGACACCCAACTCTACCTCTCTGCCTCCACCCTCGACTCCAGGATCACTGCTGTCCTGACAGAATGTCTGTCAGACATCAAGTCCTGGATGAGAGCTAACTTTCTACCGTTGAACTTCAACAAGACCGAGGCTCTCATGATTGGCTCCCATCATTTCCTGGTCATTTTCAATCTACGACTGTTTGTGGGACATTGCTGTGCGCAATTGGCTGCCGCGTTCGCCCACAAATATACAGTCAATTCACTTTACAGTGTGTTCTGTGAAGCGCTTTGGGACGTCCTCCCGACGTGAAAAGCGCTATATCAAATGCAAGGATTATTATTATTATTATTATTATCAGCACCTCCACACCTCAGCCACTAACAGCATCACTATCCATGGATGCACATTCTACCTCACTAAGCCAGTCTGGGACGCCTTGTTTGACCCTCAACTATCCTTTCTATTCCACATTTGTGCCATGATCCGCTCTGCCTTCCCCCACCTCCACAACATCGCCCGCCACTGTCTCACACTGCAGGCCGCCAAGACCCTCATTCATGCATTCATAACATCAAGGCTTCACTATGCAAACTTTCCCATCACACAGAAGATACAGTTCAAGATCCTGGTCCTCATCTTCAAAGCCCTCCATGGCCTTGCCTCCCCCTACCTCTGCGGCCTCCTAATCCCCTACCAACCTGCCTGCTTTGTCCGCTCAGTAGCCTCCAGCCTGCTTCACGACTCCCACCTCGCCTACCCCAGCATTGGCGGGTGGGCCTTCAGCCACTGCCCCCATCTTCTGGAACTCCATCCCGCAGTCCCTCCACCTCACCCCTCCCTTGCCTCCTTCAAGAACCGTCTCAAGACCCTCCTCTTCGACAGTGCTTTCGATTACCCTCCTTCCCCCGTTGATTGTCCAGCACCTTGGGATGTCCTCCCAACATGAAAGGCGCTGTACAAATGTAATGCTGTTGTTGTATGCCAATGTTGACCTGCCAGCCTTCCAGTTCCCAATACCTACTAACAAAAATTACCTTAATGTTTCAATGGATCTCATAGAAAAATTTGGTCACTCAATCTAGGACTGTTTGTGGGATACCTCTGTGTGCAATTGGCTGCCGTGTTTCGTCCACACATTACACAGTCAATCCACTTTACAATATATCCTTTGAAGCGCTTATTGACACATCGCAACAACGTGATAAAGTGCTCTATCAAATGCAAGAATTATTATTATTATCTCCCTATAGGAGATAACTGCTGCTTGAAAAATGCAGGTGCCACATGCCGAAATATATCACATACCTGGGCAGAGAGCCTGATATCACACACCTGGCGACAGAGAGCCTGATATCACACACCTGGCGACAGAGAGCCTGATATCACACACCTGGCGACAGAGAGCCTGATATCACACACCTGGCGACAGAGAGCCTGATATCACACACCTGGCGACAGAGAGCCTGATATCACACACCTGGCGACAGAGAGCCTGATATCACACACCTGGCGACAGAGAGCCTGATATCACACACCTGGCGACAGAGAGCCTGATATCACACACCTGGTGACAGAGAGCCTGATATCACACACCTGGCGACAGAGAGCCTGATATCACACACCTGATGGTAGGGGCAGAGAGCCTGATATCACACACCTGGTGACAGAGAGCCTGATATCACACACCTGGCGACAGAGAGCCTGATATCACACACCTGGTGACAGGGGCTAAGCCCCTGAGATGGGGGGGTGTCGGGGGGGGAGAGGCGGAGCAGATCCGATCCGCCCAACGCTGATCACTGGCGGAGAGTTGATCAGTGGCTGTAGCGGACACGGCTCAAACCCTCAGGGACCCGCGCTCTGCTGGAGGTGAGGGGGTGGAGGTGAGGGGGTGGAGGTGAGGTGGAGGGGGTCCTGGAAGAGAGAAGAGGGGGTGAGGGAAGCACTGAGGGTGGAGGCTGAGCTCTGGCTGTGAGAGAGAGAGAGAGAGAGACTGACAGACGAGACAGTCCGTGCAGTTACTGAGTGAATCTCCTCCTCTCTCCTCTCTCCTCTCCAGGAGGGCATTGGAGAGGTGGTTCGCTGTCTGGTCGCCCACAAACCGACTCACTTTTTTCTTTTCTTTTACTCTTCTTCTTGTTGGGTTGGTTTGGTTGTGTTGTGTTGTGTTTATTTTACAAGAGGGGCAAAAAAAAAAAAAAAAATCTCCTTTTCCCAGGGGTTGCATTTAATTCCTTTATTTCATCTGTTAACTTTTTTCCCTCCTCTCTGTCTCTCTCTCTCTCTCTCTCTGTGTGTGTGTGTGTGGAGGAATGCAGGGATCTGACTGGAGAAACATGAGCCTCTGCCCGGGGTTATGAACAACAATTTTGCCAACAAGAGGACCGAACCCACGACCCCGGTTTTGCTGTGGCTTTATTTTCCGAAGCGTCAGTCCCTTTTGCAGGTAAGCGCTTTGGGGGGTTTCGAAACCCCCCACTGCTCGGTTTCCCGAGGCTGTTTTATTGGTAGTTCAGTCTCGTACAGTGTGTAACAATACTCGACCGTTTACTCTGACCGCCCTGGCACAGACTAGACAGACAGACAAGACAGACAAGACCAGACAGACAGACAAGACAGTCCTCCTGATCAAATTTATTCCCTCACTTTCAGGGCTGTTTTTGCGGGACGTCGCTGCGCGTAATTTGGCTGCCGGGGTTCGCCCACGAAATAATGACGATGATAATAATACTACTAACCCTAGCGCTTTTATCACGTCTTCGAGACGTCTCCGAGCGCTTCACGGGATATGTCGTCAAGTGGGTTGACTGTGTATTCTGTGGGCAAAACACGCCAAGCGATGGTGCACAGCGGTGTCCCACCAACTGTAAAATACACAGTCGCTACGCAGGGATTTTGTAGTAAATCCTGTGAAGGGTTTGTCGATGTTCCCTCCGCCTCACTCCCCGCCCTGACCGCCTTCAAGATCCGTGTCCTCCTCTTCGACCGTGCCTTCGGTCACCCTCCTACCCCTAACCTCCACCTCTCCTGATCCCAACCACCAGCTCGGTTGCAGATCCCTGACTGTCCAGCGTCTTGTGACATTCTCCTGACTTGAAAGGCGCTATACAAATGTAATTTGTTGTTGTTGTTCTCCTGACACGCTATATCAAGCGCAAGGATTATTATTGTTTTATCGCTTTTCAGTTAAGAATTTCTGTTTGAATCAATGTGTTTGATTCTACTTGATTGCCATGCATAAATCTGTGTGTTTTTTCTTAATTCCATTATTAAATGAGCTACAGATTACCCATTATCTTGCACCAACTGTTACAAATGGGGAATCAATTGTTGGTAGGGATGAGGTAATGGGGACGGAGCTAGAATGATTCATTGCACTGCATACATTATTTGTCGGGATTGGCAAAGTGTTGCCCTCACCACTGTTACGTTGCAGACTTTGTCATTTGCATCTGAAGCCGAGTTACCTGGATTTATTATAAATGTTGTTTTTAAATAGTGGATTAAAGTAAAAACCGAACTGTGCTGAACCCTGTACAACTGGCTTGAGGGTTGAGGTTTTTTTAATATAAAAATATTAAGCTACTAGTGTACTGCTCTTTCTTCTGCAGTAACTATGGGGAGGCAGGGGAAGAGTATCTGCCAACATATCCCTTGAGATGCCTGAGTTGCGGCATGTTTTCTGGGTCAGTTTGGCATGCCCAGTTGCAGGCTGAACGTGCCTATGTTAGCTAAGCAGTGCTTTATGGTGTTAGAAGCAAGACTGTGTGGAAGAGCTGCTGTGGCACTGTTAGCACTGCATGTGAGTACAGCCAGACTGTGCAGCCAGCTTCTTAAGTTTAATGCACGCAGTAAGAAATAAATGCTCTCTTGGGTAGCCTGCTTTATTACCTCCTGATTTTACAACTCCAGAGTAGTGGGAGCGGACTGCTTAGAGCGCACTTGTGCTGTATTTTTATCTTGATTTGATACGGAGGAAAAAAACACAGTATAGATAATATCTGAGGCACATGATTCCATACCACATGTGTTGGAGGCTGTCTGCCAAACATACCCTGAAGTGGGTGTTTTGCCAGGGAATGGATTAGCACCACTGGCTGCAGTGTAAATGCAGAAGCTACAAATCCATGATAATAACAATCCTTGCATTTGATATAGCGTCTTTCATGTCGGGAGGACGTCTCGAAGCGCTTCACAGGGTTTACTGTAAAGTGTGGTGATTGATTATTTGTAGGCGAACACAACAATAAATTTGTGCACATCCCAGAAACAGCCACCACACTTCCACCACTCTAAGCATAGGGCATCTTGCATTGATCAAACTTGTCTACTACAGGCAATCAGAGTTCATTTGCTTCTGCCAAGTGCCTTTGGGAATGTATTGATTTTTCAATTAAAAGTAACAAAATGAAAATAAGAGTAATATCCTCCTGGGGGGGAGGTAAGCAGGATCTCCCTGGAGCTGAACTGAGCCAGGCTGATCAGCAGTATTCTAGGGCACTGCTGATGGCAGCACTGCCAGCCTGGCTCATTGGCAGGACCTGGATGGGCCAACCAGTCACTGGGGCAGGGAATCATCCCACTCAGCTCCTATTAGCTCTGCAAGCCCAAGCCCTAACAAGTAGGGTGGTCGTAGCTGGACAAGCAGCAGGTAACCTTGCCGGACAATGATATCAATGGCAAACCATGCAGTTTTAGCTGGTTAGACTTCAGCAGTAGCTAACCTCACACTCTGCCGTCCCCAACCAAGCCTTGGCTCTTGCCAATATGTGCCTAATACTTGCCAGAGTTAGGTAAGCAGGATGCATTCCTCCAGGGAGAGAATGGAGGGATCCCTCCATTTGATTCCAACAATCTATCTCTGGAATTTCCATGGGTAGGTACATAAAATTTGCAGTTTGGTTTGGATACTCTTAAGCATGATGATGGGTTTCTGCATGTGTCAGACACCTGGCTAACCAAAACAAAGTAACTGTTTTGTTTCAGGAGGGGGCAACATTGAAGAGATGAATGATCCCAAAGTAACTACCCTATTCGTCATGTTCCTTGGAATCTAAAAATACCCATTTTGGGCAAACTTAGCAATGCTCATCCCAAGTATATATCATTGTACGTTATTTGTCTTCTATCAGTGGAAATCTAGATCTTCGCCACTTCATTCGTCTTCTTGCTGCTGATCTCGGATTTGTTTCTACTGGGACCAACTGTGTGAATTTAATACCTAATCCCTGGGCAGGCAATTGAAGAGAATAGAGACCAATAGAGACTGATTAATGTGCTTCTGTATTCTACTGTGTGCTGTGTGGATTCTACCCATTTTGCTGTAAAGTGTAGTGACTGTATTTTGTAGGCAATGTGGCAGCCATTGTGTGCTTAGCACTGCAATGAGCATCATTCGGGGTCAAATCTGGAGCCCTACAATTGGAGCTCCACTGCTGTGAGATTGCCAAATCACACACCTTTCAACATTGCTTAAAACCTGCAAGATCAACCCTGTCCCTGGATGGATTAGTTGATGAGGCATTGCAGACCAGGAGGGCCACAGAGGCACAAAACTCCATCTAATCTTCCGTGTAAGGCTAACTTGCCCTATAGGATGATGCAGAATTAGGACCATATTTAAAATTGTTTTACAATGCCTTGGGACGTTTCCGCTTTAAGGCAAAATGGTCCCATGGGCCAGGACTAGCTGGACCTTTGGTTCGCTTGTTTGAACCCCAGTCTATGCTGTGTGACCTGATCACAGCCGGGGCAGTGTTAGGGATGTTGAATTTGCCTGGGCTGGAAGAAAAAAATGAGCCAGAGTTCCCAGCCTGGTCTTGATCTATTAGATTTGACATGGTATAAGCCTCACAGAATATTGATTGTGGTCCATGATGTAGAATTAATTCACACTTTGTAGAAGAGCGTCATGACCTTCGTTAGGGGTTGGTTGAGTATCCTTTTCATCAGTAACGCAGGCATTTATTACACCAAGTCAGGTGTTGTAATATGAATGTAATTCTTTGTTTTTTTTTGCTCTTGCTGCTTATGCTGTTAAAATGTGTTTAACATCTTGGCCTCAATCACCCTGCCCCACAATCTGTTCCAGTTGTTAAACACACAGAGTTCTTAAGAGGTACATTATAAGGTGGGAGAATGTATTTGTGGCAGAGAAGGTTGACCTTTTGTACGTGTGTGTGTGCGCGTGTTTGTAGGGCGAAGGGGCATCAGGGAGGGTCGTAATTTATTTTATGTTGAGTTATTTTCTCTTTTCTTCTTCTTTGCGAAATATACTGGCTCATACCAGGTACAGCTCTACACACAGTGACTGACTCCATGTTGGGTTCAATAGCTCCATGGACGGAACCAACCTTATGGTGTTTTGATCAAATAACCTTTCTTCAGGCATGATAGTTGGGCATTGGAGGACTGTTTGGCCATAATTGAGTTTGAGCTTGTTCTCACTCAATGTCCAACCCCACAAACCTACACATTCCAGTCGGGGGTTAATGAATAGTCATCAGGAATGGGTTTGCTGGTAGAGATTTCCCCCCCACCCGCCCCTTCTCTTTCTATCTAGCCATTTGTAGTAACTCTTAACTGTTCGCGGAGATAAGATCAGCTAATTCAGTGCAGATAAGCAGCAATTGTGATCTTCGAGTCTGAATGGTTTACACACAGAGTGGTGCCTTTACACACTGGGTTATCGGCGATCTTGTGTTGTTTTCATTGGGTTTGCGTAAGAACTTTCTATATTTTGTATGAATGCAGAACTGTAAAAGATCAAGTCCTGGGGGCAGAGCCATGATAAAATTTTGCTTTCATACCACCCTGACTGTGAAAGAAAGGCACTGGGGTTGAAGTTTAAGCATGGAGCCAGACTTTTGCATGGGATTTATACTTGTCACAGAGTGACATGACTTGAATGTAGTTAGTGCAGCTAAATTAGACACAGTGGCCAACTCCTCTAACAAAGTACTGTATACAGTTTTTGAAAGGAAAATAAATCCCTGGAGTGATTGATCTATAGTTTCTGATGTCAGGTGTATAACTGGTGAAACTGAAACAATCTACTGTAGCATTGGGTATCGGTTTGGTGGTGGATAGAATTATACTTCTTAAAGGACACCTCCCTGTGACTGGCTGAGCTGGAGGCTCCTGTTACAGTTGGGTTTTGTCTGCCAAGCTGGGAGAAGTCACTGATCTAAGTTACAGGGGCAGACAAGGAAGCCTTTTAAGCGAGCAGGTGCAGCTTATCGAATTGTATGGTGCTCGATCTTCTATCCCAGAGCAAGTGTTGGAGCTGCGAGAGGAGGGGGGGGCGGAGAGGTCGTTGTGGCCAATTTCGGAGAGATGCGCAAACAGCGCTGAAGAGGGGAGTATTTGAAATGCATGTTTTGCTTGGGTGGACAGGAAACCGGTGACTGTTTGATAACACTGGTGGTGAGTTTAGACAGGTTGCAG